TGTCCTCAGTCTCCACCCTGTGCCCTCCCCCACCTCTACCCTGTTTCCTCACTCCTGGTGTCCAGATGGCTGCAGCAGTTCCTGGCCTCACAGCTGCATGCCAGACTCTGTGAACACAGAGGGAACCCGGCAGCTCCTTTAATTCTGGAAAATGAACCCGTTGCTTTGGTGGGTGGGGATGGGCCACACCAGTTAGGGCAGACTCCCCATTACTTCCCTTTCTAAGAACATCTGCTTCCTGGGCCCCAGATCTGCACATCACTCTATGCATCACCTCTTAATGCTCACAAAAACCTCTGAGGTCCTTTCAAGGATAATCTGCATTTTACCAATGAGGAAATCAAAGCTGAGAGAGGGTGGATGCCTTGTTCAGGCCACTCAGTCAACATGTGGCAGAGATGTTGGGAAACAGCAGGTCTATGTGCTGAAAGGGACCTGCACGGTTCTGCAGCCTGAGCCCTGAGACCCTGTGTCCCCACTCCTTGACTGAGAGGTCACTTAACAGCCCCCCACTGCTGCCATTCGATCTCCCCTTGCTACCCTGGTGACCGCAATCTCTTGCCCACAGAAGTATTTTGACCATAGATCTCAAGCCTCAGACTAAGTAACTCAAAGTCCTGTTCCTACCTCTGGACTCTATTCTCCCCATTACCATGATCTGTTTCCATGGAAACTGCTGGGCTCCAGCATCCCTTTCATCCTCCTTTCTAGGAAGCAAGACCAGATCTCTGGCACCCCAGTAACCAGGTCTGACCATTATAAAGACTAAAGAAGCAATATCTGAAAGAAACATTTGCAGGAAGAGGGAGGAACCAGGTTGGGCTTCTGATTTTTCCTTTGATGCGCTCCAGAATAACACCAGGTGCTCTGAGGATTTCTGCCAATTACCGCAGCCTGGTGGAAGCTGGCTGCAAAATTGTTTGCCTTCCAGTTTTTGGTTTCACCATCTCATAGCCCATCTTCAGGCCTTCCTCTCTTCCTGGGAAACGACTCTGAGGATTCAGGGAAGAGGGCCATCTGGGCAGGTCATCTTACCAAGCCCTTGCATTGGCTGGTAGCATCCAGGGAGCAGCTAGTAGACAGGGATGCCAAGGAGAAGGTGGCGCCCAGGTTTTCTTCTGGAGAGGGGAGGAGCCAGCTGTTAGGGAACCAGCGGACATCGAGGAAACCGTGAACATGACATCACTCCTGCCACTGGCAGGGACCCTGTGGAGCTAGGAGCCAAGGTCGGAGGAGAACGTTATAGCCACTGCCCAGGAGCTTGGCACCTGCTCACAGGGAGCCCATATGTTCTAAAACTGGAGGAGCCAAAGTGATCTTGATATCCTGCCCCTGCCAGGTCTTAGTTGAGTGTTGCTGTCTCTGAACCCAGGTTTCCTTAGTTCTAAAATGGGCCCGATTCTTACACTGCACACTTGATGGGCTAAGGTGAGGCCCAAGCAAGAAAAGAACCATGAGAGCCCTTTGCAAAGGGATGAAAAACCATCTTAGAGGTCACCACCACCCCCATCAGTTCTGGCTACAGCTGCTGGTCTCAGGGTGAGGGGTGCTGTACTTTGAATGTGTCGGTCCCCAAAGCTATGTGTTGGAATTTGGTTGCCATCATGAGAGCTTAGTAGGGTGGAATATCCGAATAGAATTCCTTTCTTAATGGCCTTTGGAGGTAGGCCTTTGAGAGGTGATTAAGGTTAGAGGGTGTCACATGAGGAGGGAACCTGTGATAAAACTAATTTATGAAGAAAAAGAAGAAGAAGGATAATCCAGATGTGGTGGTGCATGTCTGTAACCCCAGGACTCAGGAAGTTGAGGCAGGAGGATTACAAAATTCAAGACCATCTTGGGCTACCTAGCAAGATTCTGTGCCACTCCCCAAAAAACCCAGAGGTCTGGATGGCTAGCAGGCATGCTCTGTCCATGCCCTTGGCCATGACATGATACAACAAGAAGTTCCCATTAGATGGCAGTGCCATGCTCTAAGACTTTCCAGTATCCAGAACCACAACCTAAATACCCTCTATTGCTTATGAATCACCTGACCTAAGCATTTTGTTATAGCATCAGAAAGTGGATTTAGTTGTGAGTAGAGGGCTTCCATATAATAGAGCAAAGAAAGGTCTGCGTGGAGCAATTTCCAGCATCATGGCCCAACACCATCCATGCACGCCATCTTATAACCCTCGTCTGCACTCCATGACTCTTTCCCAGGAGCCACTGCAACTTCCAAGGTCTGCAGAGGACTTCAGTCACCCCAGCTTCCTTGCAGACTCAAGACAGGTCAGTTTGGGCAGCTTCCCCAGATCTTCAGACAGCTCACAGCCAGAAACATGCAGCAGTCCACCTTTGCATGGACCCAGACTCCAGATTTCTGCTTGTCTCAGCCCACCAGGGACCAGGTGGCCCACAGTGCTCCCTTCCTGCAGCACCCCCAGGCCCTGCAGGAGCTTTCTGGCTTCCAAGAACCCCTCTAGGAAGTGCTCAGGCTTCCACTTTTAGAGCCCGTGGTGGAAATGGAGGGTGAGTGAGCCTGCCTGGCAGACAGGAGGTGACCGACTCAGGAGCTGTCACTTGTGGGCCAAATAACACTCCTTTGGAGCAATAAAGAAAATTCTTCCCATGGCCTGTGTCCCTGATAGTACCCATCTTTTCATTACGCACTCAGGACAGCCAGGATTCTTGCTAGGTACCCCTTGGCTACATCATCTTTGATCCTTAACACTGACTTAGCCAGACTAGCATTATCACCTCTGTTTTCACTGAGGTTCAAAGAGGTCCTACAGCGGGCCAAGACTCATCACCAGTGGGTAGGTTTTAAAGCTGCCACTATCCGACTCCAGAGCAGGGATTTGTAACTCCTAAAAGTGACTACAGCTTTCAGCTTGGGGACAGGGACAAGAGGTTTGTGTGGGCTCTTCTTTTCCTCCTTGGGTGTGGGTATGGGAAGGCGGAGACGGGTTCCCAGAAACAAGTCCAGGGATGCATTCAAAATGAATGATGGGCCGGGGATATAGCTCAGTGGTACAAATGCCTGCCTGGCAAGCTCAAAATGCTGTGATTGATTCCCAGTATGAAAAAGAAAGAAAGAAGGAGAGAGAGAGAGAGAGAGAGAGAGAGAAAGAGAGAGAGAGAGAGAGAGAGAAGAAGGAAGAAAGAAAGTCCTCGACTGTCCCACTGCAGAGTGAGAGAGAGAGAGAGAGAGAGAAAAGAAGAAAGTCCTCGACTGTCCCACTGCAGAGTGCGCAGGTCACAGTGGTTGCCCTGCTGTCATCTCCCTGGTCTGGAAGCTCTGAGAAGGAGGACAGCTGGCTTTGGTGGCACTGGAGGGGTTAGCAGCCTCCCCCAGACCTGAACAGAGCAGTGGCAGGAAGTGACAGAGGAGCCCAACAGACAGGTGTCAACGCGGTCAGGGCCCTGCGTTTGGAGTCAGCATCCGTCTCAGCCCTTCCTAGAGCTGGAAGCTACCCAGGGATTTCTAGCCAAGCTCACCACTGATCACAGGTTCCATGAGGCAGCGTGAGGTCTTTTAATCATCAGAACACTTCTTAGAGGGAGACACCCACATTCCCATTTTGCAGAAGAGTAAACCCGAGGCATAGACAAGTTATGTAATTCACCAGAGGTCACACAGCCTAGCTTTATTCTGGGACTCAGATGAAGCAGCCTGATTCTAGAGTGCCTACTGGACCAGTGAGCCACCCTGCCTCCCCAGAAGCAACCTGGGGACTCTGGTGGCTTGGTGAATTCCTCAGCTCAGTCCTCCCTTGCAGCAAGAGGGGGCACAGCGCCTAGAGGCCTCCAAAGCCGGCTTCCTCTGACTCCTGTCTCCTAGTCTTTGTGTGAGTAACAATTCTGAGCACCTTTGCCCTGGGCAAAACCCAAGTGGCTATGGAAGCCGCTCTCGGGCTGGCTCAGCCTCCTCCCTCTGCCTCCGGCTTGGTCCCCTCTCACCTAGCGACCTGCTTTTGATTCTCGCTTACCTCCTTCTCCTTCACTGGCTGTCCCTTGGAAAGTAGCTCAGCTCACACTCATCAGCACTTGTTAATGAGCGCAGTTGGTGGCACAGCACTAGTGGGGGAGAGGGGAGAAATGAGGGGCGGTGCTGTCTGTCACTCAGGGGGCCAGGCATCCACAGGCTCCCACAGACCCCCGGGCTCCCAGCACCAGAGCACAGGGAGGAGCCGCCCGTTCCCTGTCCCTTCTCTTCCTAGGATGTGCTGGCAGCAGCTGCTTCTATTTTCCTGAGACCGACTCAGTGGATACCTAAATCAGGGCTGGACATTTTCTGTCCCCTGGGGTAGGCAAGTTCCTCGTGTCTCTCAGTGGGCGCAGTCAAGAACAGTACTGTCAAGGCTAGCTCTGCCATCCCCTGGACGAATGTCCTGGCTGAGATGGAGGAAGGTACTCAGATGAGGGGTAAGTGAAGGCCCCTCCCCATAGGTCTCCTGCCTGCCTCACTGATTCCAGCTGCCCCCAGCGAGGCCTTGAGCCCTCGCGGCTTCTCTGGATGTCTGGGCTTCCTTTAGGAGCCATGAGACCATGAAAAGGGTGCTGGGTTCAAATGTCAGCTCTGCCACTTATTTGCTGGGCAAGTCATTTAAGCAGTTCGAGGCCTGCCTTAGAAAAGTGGTGCCTGCTCTTCCTGCTGTGGAAAGCACAGATGAGAGGCGGCAAGAGGAAGACCCAGTGAACTCCAAAGCCTAGGGTTGCAGTATCGTCCCAGTTTCGGGGATGTTGTTGCTACTGTGGTTACTGTTACTGCTACTGCTAGTGCTGACTGTACTCAAGAAGGAGTACAGTCCTTCAGGGAAGGAAGAGCGGCCTCTCCTAGTTTCCATCGAAAGATTTCCGGGTGTCCCGGTGCCTGCAAAGGAGCCTCAGCGCATACATGCTGACCCCAGGACCCTTGGCCAAGTCCCCGGTCCCCCGCCCCTATCGCGCCGCGCCCCTGTGCGATTCCCTGAGCGCGCGCGCCCCCTGCCGGCAGCCGGGCGCCGCGCAACCCCGGGACCGCCTATAAAGGCAGCGTGGCGGGCTGCCCTAGCGCGAGTGCCAGAGCCGAGCCGCACCGAGCGACAGCGCCGTGCTGGCTGAGGTCTCCGAGAGGCTCGCCATGGCTGGCCCCCAGCAGCAGCCCCCTTACCTGCACCTGGCCGAGCTGACAGCGTCCCAGTTTCTGGAAATCTGGAAGCACTTTGACGCAGACGGTCAGTAAAGCTCCCAACTTCTGTGCCCCAGGGCCCCCAGGGGACCTGCGGTTGGAGGGACAGAGGGGATGGCTGGGGCAGGCAGGTGTGCATTCGCCCCCGGGGAGCGTTCTGGTCGCGGAGCTTGCTGGGGTCGGGATTTCGAGTTTGGGAGACATCCAGCCGCTCTGGTGACAAGTGTCAGTAACTTTTCGGGTGTGGGGCGCACGGAACCCACCAGCTTGTGCATTATCATTCTGAGCAAGTAGGAGTGTCCCCAGAGAGGAGGCCGGGCTGGAGAAGGGTCCCTGCGGTTCGCTCTGCCATCTTCCCCACCTTTCCCTTCAGGTAACTTGCACCCTTCTTTGCTGCAGCCCGGGTCTCAGAAGCCCACTCATCTGGTCCCTGGCGACCCCTTTCCTGAGTGCCCGCGCAGCCCCCTCACCATTCTGGAACTTAGGGCGAGCTGGGCAGTCCGAGGGGGAAGCCTTTGCCCTCGCTCAGGCTGGCTGGCTGGGAGCAGGTGTGGAGAATGGCATGGGGGAGGGGTCCTGATGCCCCCTTGGGCTTGCTCTCTCCATCCCCCAAATTCATGGGCAGTAGGTTTTCTAATCGTGTCAGCAATGGGTGTGGTGGGGTGCCAGCCCCAGACCTGCTCCTCCTGCCTGGTGATAATCCTGGGTGCTTTTGGTGACTCCTCTGGAAAAGGGGAGACACACTCTTAAATGCCCCAGTGACCAATACTTGGTCTTGATATTGACCAAGCCCAAAAATGAGGTCCAGATCGAATTGCCTTGGGAGATGGCACTCAGTACTATAATGATCTCACTGGGGCATTAAAGAAACCCCCCTGTAGAGCTTGCTAATATCACTGGAGACTTTTTCTCCATCATTCCAAAAAAAAAAAAAAAAAAAGCAATCTAATTTCTCTCTCCAAGGTCCTGGCTAAGCGGGGCCTCCAAAATACCCTGGTGTCTCAGACTCATCAGCAGCGTGCTGGACCAGGGTGTTTATCCTGGGGCTGAGAGCGAGGGTGATGGGAAGCAGAGGCTACTGGATGCTGATTTACTGGGTTCCTCCCTCCTCCCAGCCGCACCTGTCAGGGTGTGGAGGTGCTAAACAGAGATGCTCCGCTCAGAGTGTGGTGGAGAAGCAGGGGTTAATGTCTGGGGCTGCTCACGGTGAAGTTTCCTTTCCTTGGAGGCAACTGAGAAAGCTGGAGGGCAGAGAGGACTGGGGATCTGGTTACTTGGGTTAGGACCTTGTGTCTGGCTCCAAGGTGGGTAGATCGTGCAATCTGAAAAATGGGATTAAAAAGGTGGCCTGGGTTTCCAGTTCCCAGCTCAGGGCACAAAGCTGCCTCAGGGAAATGGGCTGTAATAGGTGCAGCCCCTTGGCATTCCGCATGACATGCCCATTCCCTAAGGATGCTCCTGCCAGTTTATCCACACCAGAGACTTGCGGGGTTCAAGGAAAGTTACCAAGCAGCCAAGGTTACACCACTGGCCTCCTGTTAGATGAGTCAGCTAGAAACGGAGAACTCCACAATCCTACTTTCCCCCATTCACACGAGGGCATCCAAGAGCCCTCTCAGCAATCATGAGCAGCCTTATGGCTATGTACAGTCTGAGACGTTGTGCCTTTCGAAACAGTCCCACCTTCTGTTCCTGTGCTGCGAGGCTGCTGCCCAGGTTCCCTTGTATGGATGAAAACGGATGCAAGGAACACTTGTGCAGGGTCATGTAGCCAATTCATGGGGACGCTGATCCCTGGCCAGGGCTTATTTCCCTACTCGAATTTCAGAACAGGCTTGGAAGAGAGGATTCTTTTCTGTGATCACAGGTGCAAGTTTCCTTGCCATTTGCCCACAGAAGAGCCTGCAACCCAGTCTTGGAGCCAGTAGACATTTCCTTTTCCCCAGAAAGAGGTCCTTGAGACCAAGAGTTTTGAAGGACTTCCCAGAGCTCCTGTGCCCTGGCTCCCGCTGCTCCTATACGAGCTTGCTGGTTGTTCCCTAATCACTAGACTTCTCAGGCCCTCTTGGGTCACAGCCTTAGGAAAGACCCACGGTGAGACCCTGGCCTTATAGGAAAAGGAAGCCAAAGTGTTCCATGCTGGAGATGGGAGGCTGATGACCTGGAAAATGTGCAGACAGCCAACTGCAATTCCACTAAAGGATCCAGAAGTGGGTTTGGAGCCACCTTGCTGGGTACCTTGGTTTTGGCATCCTCTGTTCCCTGTCCTCACCTTCTGCAAACCCCAAAGCTGCAGGTGAGGCCAGCGCCCCACCACCTGAGGAGTTCCCAGCCCTGCTTGGACCCCTCTCTGATCAGTGCTGGCTTCTGTTATAATTTAGGGTTTCTGCTACTCAGCACCTTAAAGACCCCTGGGAGAACGCTCCCTAGAAGCTCGCTAGGTCCCTGGAGTTAGCTCCCAGGGCCGAGTTAATCACAGCCACGAGAGAGGAGGAGCTGCCTCCTCACCCACTGTGGACTCTCAACTAAACAGACACAGGGGACCTTGGAGAAAATCTGGGTCCCAGGGAGAGAGAGGCGATGACCCTTACCTAGCCTATTCCAAAGAAGGAAAAGAGGAGGCACCCTAGTACCCCTGACCAAAGAGATTGTTTTCAAAATTATCAATAGCCTTGGAGAAGAGAAAGGAAAGAGGAGGTATTTGGAAAGAGGTTGGTTGAGGAACAAAGAAACAACTTCTTTTCACAAGATAGCACAGCAAAGCAGGAGAGGCCAGGGTTCTGGTCTCCCAGTCCCCCACACCACCCCAAACTCCTCCTCTGTAGTCACTAAGGCCAGGCACTGGGAAGGTTCAGCTCTCTCTCAAAGGCAACATCAGGGGTCAGGAATGGCAGCCAAGCCACCCTATGACCCACATGGGGTCTGGGGCTCTTCACGTGTCACCCCTTTACATGTTTGATACCATTGTTCTGTGGCTTCCTGGTCACTTCCTTGTCAATATTTCTTACTCTGTAAAACTCAGGCAGCTGACCCAGATATCACGGGTCTCCCTGTGTTGTTCTGACAGATACTACCAGGCTCCAACTCCACTGATGACCCGTGAGGAGTCATATTGTGGCTCACAAAAGAAATGCCTTAACTTTTGGCTACCTCTCTGGAGCCAAAAGAGTATGGGGAGAAATTGGGTCCTCTTTTAGAAGCAAGCAGACACTCATAGGACCAAGTAAGAAATCCACCAAGCATATATTCTCCATGGTTAAAATATCTGTTCTGTACATACAAAAAGGTAAGTGCCCCAGAGAGCCTATTAAAGAGTTCTTTGAAATCTGAAAGTTGGAGGAAGGGGAATGTGTGTCATCAGGGAACCAAAAAATAAATTATGGTCGCGTCTACAGTGAGTATTAAACAACCAATAAGAGCTAAATGGAGCTTTTGTGCTGACATAGAAAAATGTCCAAGATGTGTGTAACTTTTTTAAACTATAGCAGAACACTATCGGAAGCCCATTTTTATAATTGATGGCATGTACATTGGAGAGGATTTGGAAAAACACTATCAAACAATAGTGGTTCTCTCTGAAGAATAGTTAAAGGAAAATTAAAAATAATCTCTTTTATTTTCTAAGTTAGTTTCTGTAGTGTTTGAAAATTTTACAAGAGCATTTTTTAAGTTGAAACTAATAATTTCATGGTCACCCCCCCAAAATAATATGCACAGTCTCGAGGTGTAGGACCTGTCTACTCTTCCAGGCTGTGTCTGCCTCCAAATGGCCCTGATGAGTCAGGGGGGTTAAAAGTCTGTCACAGAGACTGAGCCCTGTTCCCCCCTGAGAGCCCCTGCACTCGAGGACTTTGAAAGTTACTAGCAGGAAGGATTGCACAGGACTGCCAAGGGCTTTGCTGAGTTTTCCCTCCCTTTCTCCCTGTATGCCATGGCCCTAACAGAAGTGTCCTGGAAACCCACACACCAAACCAGCGACACTACCTAGAAGTGGGTGTCCAGGCTGGCCCTTCCCAGAATGCTCATCAGTGCTAACTTTTTGTCATTGCTGGGGCAGGGATACTGTTATAGAACCACAGTGCCTCTCAGAGGTGGGGAGAGGCCTGGGGAACCAAAGACTCGTGGAATATTAACGGACAAGTCTCACCAAAACAGTGTTACAAGATGTGAGGGAGATACTAAGAACTGACATAAGTACCACAATATTGACAAGGCAGGGTGACTACACCATTCGTAAGGCAGCCACGCGGTCTATAAAAGTGGTTGTGTCTTAGCCTATGGAGGTCAGCAGGGCCTAGTGCTGGGCTCAAGGTTAAAGCCACCTGAGCAAGGCTTTTTGCTTCACCTGCTAATGAATCTCTGGGGATCTGTAGACACGGCATCCTGATGCCAGGATTGGAGACTCCTTGAGAAAGCCTCCTGCCCACTCTGTCTCCACAGTCCCTGGAAATGCACTTCCTTCCCTCCCTGCACCTCTCTACCCGCTGACCATTGTTTCACTGACACCCCATCCTTTGGTGCCTGAGGCACGAGGAAAACTGCAGTGAATGGTTGTTTTTTCTGAATTTATTACAGCAAAATACACGTTGCCACGAATCCCCTGTAAATCCTCCGCGACTCCAAACACACTTAGCCCAGAGCTTTTGCCACTGTGTGAAGCCGTTCTGGGGGTCCCCTTGGGTGTAGGCTGCCTTGATGTCTTCAATCAGTTAAAGATGTTTACCTGGTCATTTTGACTTTGGGGAAGAGCCTGAAGTTGCACACTGCCAGCTCCAGTGAAAAAGGTGGGTGAGGACACTTTACTGCAGAGTTTTTGTTTTGTTTTTTACTGCAGTGTTTTTACGAGCCTGCTTTTCTGCTGGATGGCAGGTGACACATAGCATTCACAATATTTTTGACCACACTTTGTAAAGATACAAAAGAGGACTTCCAGACCTGCTTCGGAAAGTGGCAAAAATGATGAGATAAATATGTTTGAAGTAAGAGGGAGCTTTCTGAGTGGGATTAATGGCAATCTGTCTTTCACTCTAATACAGTTTTAAAATC